TCTAAATAGTGGCCATTAACTCATCGTCTTGGTGTCATTGTTATATTATCAGGCTGTTCTCTATGATCACTGTGTTTTGCTTTCACTTTTCTCAAATGAACTGACTCCACAAGCATCCATGTTGATCATCTGGTTAGACATTACTCGACACTAGACTCGTGAGGAAGGACAACCTAGTGTGGACAAAGCTCTTGAAAGACGCTACCACTACCTGTTAACGTCTTCTGATAGCCCTCGGTAGCCTATCAACGTCTTCTGATAGCCCTCGGTAGCCTATCAACGTCTTCTGGTAGCCCTCGGTAGCCTCACAAGCTAACATAGACCCCAAATGTAACATCAGGTCGTCCCTAAGAAATAAATACTATTCACCAATTCTCATTCTCTGGGATTTAAGGACGTACGTGAAACCAGTCTACATAATGACATTCCAATCAAATTTTTTAACACAAGTTGATACTGAATTATTTAATTTTAACTTCATACTGAAGGTTCATGTTCAACTAATTAAACTCAAACTAAAATTTTTGTAACTAAATACACAGGTAGCTCCAAATGACAAGGTGTTCAATACTAGGTTCACAGGCTCTCATAAAGTGGCTCCAGTATCACTCCGCGGGTAGTCACTCTATAATTCTGTTACACCTGATGCACATTTCTCTATTTGTAATCAACAAGTCCTTCAAACAGGCCTGATAGGGTTGGAAACTATATATACTAGTATCAGACGCCTGGCATTATTATCTAACGGCGTGAAATTTAACTAAAAGAAGTGTTCGATCCTAAAACTAAATACTATGGCACTTCTTATTGTCATCTCGGGAAGGAAAAGACCAGAAACATGGGTTAGGCTCTCCATCATCGTGTCCACTTAAGACCTCTAACTCAGGTAAACTAGTCTATCACATCCTCAATGAAATATTCTACTACAGGTAAGTTTCATTGTCAAGTTACAAGTTATATGGTGTTCACCGCTGTACTGACACTCAGCTTGTATACAACTCTGCCAGACTCAACAACTATTTTATACATTTCTGCACAAACAATGTCATGTAAAAACTCTCCTAGCTCTTATCTCCGCTACATTGTCCAACTGTGTGTATGTTTCTATCTCTGTTCACCACCATGTGTGTCTTTAGGTCACCATTAAGACATGCAGAACTATATTCTCTTCCCCTTGTGTCCCCCACCACCACCAGTCATCACCAGTCATCTTTCAACTACCTTTGCTATGTATAATTTCGTCTCTACCAAACCAATTCAAACTATGTACAACTCTGTGTCTCGGTAGTGTTGTGTGTCTCCAACATCACTGCTCAGTCCTGTCTCTACTAACTACTACTTGTACTACTGCGCCCGTCTCCACCACCACAACTTCGTCTAGCACATGTGACCATCAGTGACTGGACAAAATATCACTCCTCACTAGCACATAGTTATACACTAAGGTATAGTTCACTTATAACACACTCAAAACATCTGTCAGACTCGGAACACATCCAGCTGAGAGGTGGACCAGAACTTGAGCTCAGGCCGGGTGACTGTCATAGTCCACACCCAACAAGGACTTCCTCGGTTATACTTAGCCAATTGGTTCCTGGGATAGATTCTTTTGAGTAATAGGGAACTCGTAGTAATTTTCAAGTTTATCCACACGTACTTATTAACGAGGTTCACGGGATGCCAAAAAGGTATACAAGACATAATGATCCCAGGGTCACACGGGAAGCCTCGTTCTTGTGCCCCGCCAGAAGACTTTAGCTTGCTGTACAGGGGCCTCGTGTGCGAGCCCTGGCAGCGGCTAGGCTCTCACAGAATCCTTTACCTATTTAATTCATCATTTCTTATTTAGGTTTAGTTAAGATGTTTAGAGTTTAATGGTCCACATTATCGTTTAGTAATGGTGATTATGTTAGAGTATCTTTTAATACACTTTGGGGTGTGATTTACGGTCTCTTCCTGGTCTGTGAAGGACAGGACTGTCTTAGTAATTGCTGGTATACAATTACACCTTTACTGAGACAAACTATAATTTCTGTATCGTTCCTGGGAGACTGATGGTTATAAGAGAGATCATGGCTGGTCTTTGGACGCTTATATGACAACCATGCAAGAGAGCAGAGCAGGGGAGCTGGCGGGCCCCTCCGCGCACCGCCTGCCTAGCCTTCAGAGGGTTGCCACAACAACACTACTAAAAGGGAGGAACACTTGCTGGCCGTTGAGCTGCAGGCAGTGTTGACGGGGCTTGGCGGAGGGGCCGGCGCAGCATCTGGGGGGAAAACTCCTGCACCACACAGACGAACACTTACACTGTCTTGCACTTGAACACTTATGGCCGCGCGTAACACTGACCACTCTCACACGTATACTCCAATGGACCTGCCGGTACTCTCCCCGGCAAAGATTATTTTATAGATTCGTCAGGCTTTGTTCTATTGCCGGATACACACCGTAACACTTGCGGAGGCTTGTTGTTCGGCCGAGCGGAGGAAGGTTAGCCTGGTCGGGGATCGGACTGGGCAGCGGGGCGACTGCTCTTCAAGAGCCCAGTTGGCCTGCACACACGTAAATGGCGGCCCACCAGCTCTCGCTACCAGATACCTGCAGCCCGCCGGCCCTCCGCTCACGCCGCCACACACACACTCATATCTCTTATTTCATCCTTGAGCTTCCTTCTACCTGCCAGCCTCCCCGACCGTCATCCAGGGCTCCCTATCTTCCTTACAATGCATTTTACTACTTGGCAAGAATTCCATACAGGTAATTATAGTGTTGTATGATAATTGTGGTGTTGGCGGTGTGAGGCACTTGGCACCCACGCCCCCCTCCAACCAAAATGGGAGCGGCCCGGGGGCTATTTTGGTGCCCGGCTCCCACCGCCACCGACACCAAGTATTTGTAAACACGCCATCACCTTATACCCACCCAAGGTGCCATCTCCAACTTGCCATGCTATGTTGCACGTGCCCAAGTGGTCACCCCCCCTCCCCCTACAGAGTGACCTAAGCTGACCCGGCGTGACCGTGTGGACGGGGGGGGGGGGACGCCTGGGATGGGCAGGTTAGGGCAGCGAGCTTGGCTGGCTGTCCGCCCCTGGGACCACACGCCTCCACGCGTCACATTACCCCCGCACCTCCCGGCCCCCACACACATACCCTCATCACGGGATTGTGTCCATGCATCGTGGAAACATACTGGGAGTACTTAACTTTAAGCTCTTGTTGTGTAACTTTCCGGAAATTACACAAGTATACAGAGCTTCCTGGTTCCCGCGGGACAGTGTTTGGTCGAGAGGAGTCCGCGGCGATGGTAGGTGAAGCTGGATACTCTGGATTTACATTTTTGTTCCCAGGAGACCAAGAACACCACAGTGCTAGTGGATTAGAACACCGACCTCCGACACCTGAAGAACACCGATATTTCGTTTAGGTTAGGATAGGTTAGGTTAAATCAGTTTTTGTCGATCAAGAGCGATGACTTCCGGTCTCTGAAGAATATTAACATCTGGTGCCCGATGGTACGTCTTGTCTGGCCTTGAACACAGACTTCTTCTTGGGCCACGAAGAACAAAAACCTCATCTTGGCCACGTAGAACACAGTCTACTTTATCACCTCAGCAATACTAGTTTGTTCTCACCTCAACGCCATCAAAATCTTCCGAAACTTGAAGAACACCACCAACCACTGCAGTCATAACACCACCAACCACTGCAGTCATAACACCACCAACCACTGCAGTCATAACACCACCAACCACTGCAGTCATGACACCACCAACCACTGCAGTCATGACACCAACCACTGCAGTCATGACACCAACCACTGCAGTCATGACACCAACCACTGCAGTCATAACACCAACCACTACAGCCAGATCTACAGCCCTAGTGTTGAGGTCTATGTTATACCGTCATTTGAGTCTTATCAATTCTCCCCCTGTTATTTCTATGTCTCTCTTCATTACGTCTATCCACTCCGTTATTAGTCTACGTCTTCTCCTTCTGTTCCTCCTCCTACTCCTTTATTCGTTGTGTCCTTCCCATCTGTGTCTGCTATCAATTTTACCTTTTTTTCGTCTGTGTTGCTTTTCTCTTTTTCTCTTCCTTCTCCTCCTTTCCACTTCCTTCTTTTCCTTTTCTCCTCCTCCTCCTCCAATTTCTCCTACTTCTCCTTCTTCTCCTCCTCCTCCTCCTCCAATTTCGTACTCCTTCTCTTCCAACTTCTCCTTCTTCTCCTTTTTACTTCACTTTAATTCCACATCCAGTTCTTCTTCTCTACCAATAACTTCTCATCTTCTCTCTAAGTTCTTACCTCGCCTTCCATACTCCTTCTCTCTCTTTTGTTACTTTCTTATTCCTGTTTTGCTTTTCCTTTATACAATTTCTCCTGTTTGTATCCTTTCCTGAACTGTTATTACTCTCTTTATTGCGTGTTCCTATTTCCTTCTTTCGCTAATACTGTTTTTCTCTCTCTCTCTCTCTCTCTCTCTCTCTCTCTCTCTCTCTCTCTCTCTCTCTCTCTCTCTCCAATTCTCATTTGCTTTCTCTACTATGCTTCCTCCCTATGTCTCTTTCTCTCACTTTTAGCTTATTCTCTCTCTTTTTTTCTATCCCTCCAACCCTCTTTAGCATTCTCCACGCCCCTTACCTATCCCCTATCCGACAGGTGAACCTTTGAAGTTGTCACCTCAAATACCTGATACAGTATACAGGCAGGAGGCCTTTTTTTCATCTACCACCTTAGAGGATGGGGTCAAGTCATTGTCGAACCTGTTCTTCGTCAGTGTCGTTATACTAGGTCCTGCCCTGTTCTCGTCTTGTCCTGTTCTCGTCTTGTCCTGTTCTCGTCTTGTCCTGTTCTCGTCTTGTCCTGTTCTCGTCTTGTCCTGTTCTCGTCTTGTCCTGTTCTCGTCTTGTCCTGTTCTCGTCTTGTCCTGTTCTCGTCTTGTCCTGTTCTCGTCTTGTCCTGTTCTCATCTTGTTCTGTTCTCGTCTTGCCCTGTTCTCATCTTGTCCTGTTCTCGTCTTGTCCTGTTCTCGTCTTGTCTGTTCCTCGTCTTGTCCTCATTTTTGCCCTGTTCTCGTCTTGCCCTGTTCTAGTCTTGCCCTGTTCTCGTCTTGTCCTGTTCTCGTCTTGTCCTGTTCTCGTCTTGTCCTGTTCTCGTCTTGCCCTGTTCTCGTCTTGTCCTGTTCTCGTCTTGTCCTGTTCTCGTCTTGTTCTGTTCTCGTCTTGCTCTGTTCTCGTCTTGTCCTGTTCTCGTCTTGTCCTGTTCTCGTCTTGTTCTGTTCTCGTCTTGCTCTGTTCTCGTCTTGCTCTGTTCTCGTCTTGTCCTGTTCTTGTCTTGTCCTGTTCTCGTCTTGTTCTGTTCTCGTCTTGCTCTGTTCTCGTCTTGCTCTGTTCTCGTCTTGCCCTGTTCTCGTCTTGCCCTGTTCTTGCCCAGTTGTTCTCGGCGTCTTTGTGGCTCTCTGACCAGCGGAACATAACCGTAAAAAGGAACTAGAGCGGAAAGGGTAAACAAATAGAAGCGAATAATACTAATTTTATCCTCAATGCGACGTCCTTGCAAGGGCGCCCACCACGATACTACCACCGCTACCACCACTACCACCAACCATAGCACCTCTACTACCACCCCTACCACCACTGCTACCACCCCTACCACCACTACCACCACCCCAACAACCCTGGCCAGCAGAATCTGCCAAAAGATAGAACGATCAGAGCAAGAACTCCTTCAAAGACTCTCACCAGATAACGACAACAACCATACATGGTTCCAAAAAAGTTACCAAATCTCAAAAGGTCCATTACTATCCCCGCTCTACACGGCCAGGCAATAGACAACCTCCCTAGACCAGCATCCGCCAGTAGGGTCGGCGAATATGAAATAAGGCCCTTAAAACACCCATATATGGGATAGGGTAGGCTGTCTAGTGCCTGTACCGACAGACAATAACTAACCCATGACACAACCCTAACACACTATTAGCTTAGCTAGGCGGTCAGCCTCCCTCTCTTACCTCCTCCTGAATTTCTTCAATTTCCGAACTATAACTTCCTTCCCCACCTCTAATCTTCTTTCACCCTCCTTTCACCCCTCCTTTCACCCCTCCTTTCTCTAGAAAAATAAAAAAATAAATAAAAAACAACAAAGAGAGACTTGTGGGTACGCGTCCCTCCCTCCGTCCCTCCCTCCGTCCGTCCCTCCCTCCCTCCCTCCCTCCCTCCCTCCCTTCTTTGCCTTCAACCCGGAAATAAAACAACTGTGATGATCTTAAGGTAGAATAGATGAGACAGAAGAAGAAAAAGGACAGAAATAAAGAGAAGAATATACATTAAAAATATATAAATGGGAATAAGAATGAGAGAGAAGGATGGATAGGTAGAGAAAGCATAGAAAACAGGCTAAAATAAACTAGAGATGGTGAAAGAATGAAAGAAAACTGTGGAAATAGATGGAAAACACAGAGGAGGAATAGCTAAGGTTGGTTTAATCCGGTTAAGGGTTGTGTAGGTCGCTGTAAACACGAGGTAATGTGTGAGTCTCTGTCTAGGAGCCTTACAAGAATGTTTTAGTCATGATGGCACCGCCTTCCTTGTCAGCTGTAGCATTAGTGGCACCGTCTGCATCTGTGGCATTAGTGGCACTGTGTCACCAGCTGCAGCAATATTAGAAATGCGTCACCAGCTGTGGCATTAGTGGCACTGTGCACCAGCTGTGGCATTAGTGGCACTGTGTCACCAGCTGTGGTATTAGTGGCACTGTGTCACCAGCTGTGGCATTAGTGGCACTGTGTCACCAGCTGTGGCATTAGTGGCACTGTGCACCAGCTGTGGCATTAGTGGCACTGTGTCACCAGCTGTGGTATTAGTGGCACTGTGTCACCAGCTGTGGCATTAGTGGCACTGTGTCACCAGCTGTGGCATTAGTGGCATTAGTGGCATTGTGTCACCAGCTGTGGCATTAGTGACGCTGTGTCACCAGCTGGGTCACAAGTGGCACCTTGAAGAAATGCCTCTAACTTCACGTTAAAGACATCACCTTATCTCCCATATCTCCAGAAAGGTGTCTCAGCTAGCCATTTGTTTCCTGTTAATCCCAAACACCGAGCGTAAGACAATGACTCAAGTGTTCATCCGGCATTTATCACTTTAATGTTCTCTCTTGTAAGGTTCACCAAAGTCACAAACAGATTTGTCAGGACTCTCTCTCTTCTGACAGATAACTGGCTCTTGTGTTACTCGTAAAAGGAATAATTAATTTGACAGACGATATGTGACAAGACGAAACATCGAATTCATTAGATTACTTTTCTCCAGTGTTGTTCCTCTGTTTTGGTCTTACAGCGTGTCAAGGTCACCAGGACACACCACTAGCAGATAGAGGCGTCTTGGTGATTACTCTATTTATAATGGTGCTTCTAATTACCCTTAGGGCATACTCTGGGGTATGTCATATAACACCAGAGAATAACACCAGAGAATAACACCAGAGAATAACGAGTATAACACCAGAGAATAACACCAGAGTAAAACACCAGATTATAACACAGTGGGAATCATTACTCGATACCAAACAAAGTATCATAAGCAAGCCTGGAAGATAATACCAGGCCGTCAGTAACACCAGCGAGCATTATACCACACAAGCGAGCATTATATCACACCAGAGAGCATTATACCACACCAGCGAGCATTATATCACACCAGAGCGCATTATACCACACCAGCGAGCATTATATCACACCAGAGAGCATTATACCACACCAGCGAGCATTATATCACACCAGAGAGCATTATACCACACCACCAGCGAGCATTATACCACACCACCAGCAGGCATTTATACCTACCAGCAGGCATTATACCACACCAGCGAGCGTGCCGCACCAGCGAGCATTATACCACACCCAGCAGGCATTATACCGCACCAGCGAGCATTATACCACACCAGCGGGCATTATACCACACCGGCGGGCATTATACCACACCAGCGGGCATTGTATACACCAGCAGGCATTATACCACGCAGCGGGCGTTATACTTCCACACACACACCAGCGAGTATGCCACACCGGGCGTGCATACACCAGCGAGCATTATATCACACCAGCGAGCATTATACCACACCAGCGAGCATTATACCACCAGCGAGCATTATACCGCACCAGCGAGCGTGCCACACCGGCAGGCATTATACCACCACCAGCAGGGCATAGTAAGGTTCAGTGACTTTGGTTCGGGTATCTTATCCTTCTTTCTGGCAGACTCACTCTCTCTCTCTCTCTCTCTCTCTCTCTCCTTATCCCTACACCTCTTCCTCCCTCACCTTCCTTCACCCCCTCCTTCACCCCCCTCCTTCACCCCTACCCTCACCTGTTCCTGAGGTGAGTAACCTACCATCGTCCTGTTAATGTTCCTTCGGGTGTATAAACTATAAAATTATTTGGTGAGGTGAGGAAGAGGAGAGACTTGGGAGGAAGGGGGGCAGGAGGGAAGGGGCAGGAGGAAGGGGAGGCCGGAGGAAAGGGAAGGGGGCAGGAGGAAGGGAGGGCAGGGAGGAAGGGAAGGAGAGGGAGAGAAGTGTGAAGAGGAAAGGTGGGGGAGGGAGGGCGGGGTATGTAGTGTTATTTTAAGTGATGTAATGCGTCACTGTTGTTTTCCGGGAAGGTGAAGGTGACTCATAGATGGAGGAGAGGGAGGGTGGGTCCTCTCCCTCACTCCATCCCCCACACGAGCTCCCTGCGTCACACACACACACACACACACACACACACACACACACACACACACCTCATTTCTAAAGTGTTACCAGATTCGTTGTGTTGGTGTTACAATTTTGAGGTCTCATCACCGTGGTGCAACACTGACTGTGCTTGGTATTATTGTAACCGTGTCAGTGGGTACGTGGTGGTGGTGGTGGTAGTAGTGCTGTCAGTTGGTACGTGGTGGTGGTGGTAGTGTGCTGTCAGTTAAGGTACGTGTGGTGGTGGTGGTAGTGCTGTCAGTGGGTACGTGGTGGTGGTGGTGGTGGTAGTGCTGTCAGTTGGTACGTGGTGGTGGTGGTAGTGCTGTCAGTGGGTACGTGGTGGTGGTGGTGGTAACACTGTCAGTGGGTACGTGGTGGTAGTGGTAGTGCTGTCAGTGGTTACGTGGTGGTGGTAATAGTGCTGTCAGTTGGTACGTAGTGGTGGTGGTAGTAGGACTGTCAGAGGTCCGTGGTGGTGATGATGGTAGTAGGTATCACAAATTCCTTGATACAGTAAAACTAACATAACTATTGGTCAGTACGTGATATTCTTACGTCCCCCAAAATGCATCAAATTACAATGAGACTCTACCTTAAAACTAGATATTGTTCACTTAGCACCAATTAAGAGACAAAATTAAACCATGTTGAAGTGTTCGAGGTGAAAGAGTTGACTTTACACCTTGATTGACCACCAGTGAATAATTACCTGGTTTGTATGTTTCAGGTTAGAAATTTCGAGGCTACTAGTCTGTGTGGCTTATAAGTGACCCTAGAATGTATACATGGACAAAAAAAAAAACACTTCGGTAGAGAGAGAATGTAAACAATGCCTTAACCTCATAATTAAACTAAACAAAAAATAATTAAAAATCAATTCGTGGTATGGGAAAAAAAGTTACAGACGATGTTAAGTTTTCATCTATACCTCTGCCCTTCTATACATTTCCCCCATCCCTCCCGCCTTTCCCTCCCTCTCGAATCCTTTTTCCCCCACAACTGTACATACGTGTTGAGCATTGAACCCAAACTTGACGTCGTGCCAGTAACCATATGACTCACCTGGCCCCCTCTATTTCACCCAATTCTCAAGATCTCGTTAAATTAAATATCTCTTCCTTCCCCTCCCGCACTTAAGCTGCCTCACTCTTTAAAGCTATCTACATGCAAATATGGCTGTCAAAGTGGCGTAGAAATTGCACAGGAACTCTATCGCAGATGATGATGTGCCTGCTTGATTTGCCTAAGTCTATCAGGCCGAGTTATTTCAAGACACTGTTTGAGGAGGTGGCTGTACCGTGGAGAGGAGGGACAGCTGGGTACGTCTTAAGAGAGAGACATGGAGGGAGATGCATCAAACGGCACAACAGACCTTCAATACACAAGGAACCATCATCTCCGAACACTGCATTCAACCAACGTGGGATAGGAGTCTCCTGGGATCGAACCAAGAAACATTAAAACAGGAGACAAGATCTATAGCCACTCGACCACCGCACCCTCGTTAACATAAATACCAAAAATAGATTATATTAATTACTCATTTTTTTTGTCCTAAAATAAGAAAAGGAAAAACAGAAGAAAGATGAAACGACTTGTAAATAATAAGAAAGTACAAAAATAATGAGAGGAAAAAAAATAATATAAATGAGGGAAGGAAATGAAGAAAAAAGATAAAAGACGAAAAGGAGGAAGACGAAGAAGAAGACTAAGCAAACAGATGAAGGCGAAG